CTGACAAGCACACCAAAAACCTTCCAAACGCCACAAAACACACCACAAGCCTCACCGAATGTCTCCTTGCTACTGAGATCTTGCCCACAGGAAGCAGCAGGGAAAAAGGCCGCGGATCCGGTTCGTAACTTGAGGCGGAGTTTGCAAGTCGAGGTAAATTTTTGGGGCCGGAGCTGGTCGTATCTTGAAAAATTCGTAGGGAGGGGCGTTCGTAACTAGAGGCACCACTGTATTATTTATTCACTGACTGCACGGTACCTATCTTTGCTATATTCTTCCTGACTTTGACGGCAACCCTGTTCCTTCTTTGTTTTTTGTGTCCTGAATAGTAAACAGTATGATCTTCTGACTGAAAGGGTCCAATTCCAGTTCATTTCAATCTGCTGATGCCTAAGATGTCAATGTGCAGTTCAATTCATTTCATATTTCACTGTTGTGAGTTTTCCCAGGTTCATGCTTTTTATGTTCCATGTCCCCCTTATAATTCTGTCTTTGTACAGCTTTGGATTTTCTTTTCCTGCGTAGCAATATCAGCAACTAGATATCTGGCAAGCTTCATAAACCCCATTAGTCCTCCAAAAGATCCTTAGCGTGTTGAGGGACCCATCACCTAGGATACACACACACACACACACACACATATAAACACATATACTGTATATATTTAAATGTTTATTTATATATTAATATGTTTAAACAAATAAATAAATAAGTGTAGTCATGTTATCTTGTCTCTCCATGTGATTGTCTTGGTAAAATACAGGAGGGGTTTACCACTGCCTTCTCCTGCAATATGAAATGATACATTTGCCGTTGATGCTAACGTGGTCCTCTGCCTCCAGCATCTTCCTATATTGCTGCTGCCCAGTATAGGTGCCTGCTTGCTGGGATGACCTTCATGCCTTGGGTGGCCCTGCTGGGATTATACACTCTTGGTACGAACTCCCCGCGTCCTTGGCTCATCCCTCCTGGGAACCACCCCCTGCACGATGAGGCTGCATAGCCAAATTTGAGGAGGACCAAAGTTCTCTCTCTAAAATGACTGCACACACATGCCTTGTTTTCCTGTTCATAAATTTAATATGAGCTGCTGTTCTGGAGTCATTCAGTGAGGAAAGTGTTGCCAGATGGTTGGCCAAAACTTGCTATTGCTTTGGTTGTTGAGGCCTCCTACTTCAAAAAGAGAGAGAAACTCTTTTAAATCGTTGTTTAGGTAAAGTCTCCTTTACCCAGGCTCAACTGCTGGAACTACATGAACCATCCATGAGGGTTTCATGACCACAGTATGGAAGTGGTTTGCCACTGCCATGTGCATCCACGGGGGGAAGCAAGAGGGGGCAAGTGACACCACATGCATCATGGTGTTATTGCACAAAAGGTGCAAATTATCTACTCTGTGTCATTTGTGTCAAGCTGTGAATGGTCTGTATGCCTTTGTCCTGACTTTGTATGACTGTCCTGACTTCTACCAGATGCTTATGGCTACAGCCTTCTTCTGGTTTTTTTTTTCCCCTAGTTCTTAGTGGTGATCTCCCACCTCTCTACTAATCAGGCCTAAGCCTCCTTAGCTTTTTTCAAGGTCAACCAAGGTTGATTGAATGTTGCCACTTGCTGTGACATTTTAAGGTCCTGAGCAACTTGACAGGTAGTTAAGGACTTAGAGTATTGGGAATACTGTGACTTTATTCCTCAGGAGCTGTTGAGATTTGTGATAGCAGCCCCCTGTGATGAACTGCTAAATTGCAACTGGCAGTTGTTCAGTAAGGGAGGTTCTGCCCCTGGAATGATTCTTCCCTCCTGGTCTGGTCATTGTGTCCCCCTGCACGGGATGGAGAATGGGAAGGCTTCCTATTGAAATGACAAGATTGCAGCTGTCCCATCAGGGTGTCCATAGAATCCTCTTTGGAGGAGAAGGATGACTCTCCTTTGCTTTTGAACCTTGAGTGAGCAATAAGATATTTCTGAACTCAACTCTGTTCTGTTCTTGCATCCTAGATTATTCTTTAGCCCCAATTACTGGTTTTCTGCTCCTGGTTCTCAACTCCTGGCTTATCTCAGACAGCTGCCTATAACAGCCCAATGCTATTTTGGTTGGATTTGCCCTTTTTTGATTTTGTGTATTCAGTGACCCAGTCACTGTGGTTCGTAAACCATGGTTTATAGTTTAGCATTAATGCCAACCCAGCCAGTTGTGGTTTATTTCATGAACCACATTAAGCAAGCTGCAGTGTAGCTTAGAAGAATAACTGAACCAGGGCACATTTTGCAGTGCGTGATTCTACTAGAAGGAACTCAGTTCATTCTGCTCCCTTTTTTACTCTGTCCCTGCCATAGAAAAGAAAATTGGTATGTACTGTGGGGTTCCACCTTCTTCCTATCAGCAAACTTCAAAATGATGAATGAGTTGGTGTTTTTTTTTTTTTCAGAAGCTGAGGATTACAAATCATTAGCACCAAATTTCTTGGCAAATAGCCAAGAAGCAAAGGTCCTTCTTGGGTGTTGTTCAAGCTGTTGTCACAAGAATTGTGCAGCACCCATTTGGAACTGGGTCACTGATTTGCGGGCTCAGTGGGAAAAAAGACAAGGACAAATAAGGTCAAAATAATAAGTCGTAAGAGCTGGCTTCTCTTTATACTGTCTTTGTTTGCTTCAGGGATGACCTTGTTCTGGAAATGATGGATAAAGCAGCTCCAAGGTAGATGGTAGCGTGTGGGTTACAATAAAAGGGAGAATACAGCAGATTTTTCCTCCACCAGCCTTTAATAAACTGGTGTCCTCTGGCCATCCTGAACGATGAGTCCTATCATAGCAATAATCTCCCTTACATTTTAAAATGGGAACGGATAACAAATGGTAATGGTTCAGCCGTATGCTCTTTCTTTGGGGGTGATTTTATTATTTATTTATTAAATTTATATGCCGCCCATCTCTCCTCCCAAAGGTGACTCTGGGCAGCTCACAATTAAAATCAAACATTGAAAACAGTAAAAATATAAATATCCACATTAAATTCGCAAAAAAATAATACTATATAAAAAGACTATATACAATTCAAAATGACCAGGGGGGGGGGAGAGGCAGATTTTGACTTACTGAGTTGGAAGAAATATATACAAAAGTGGTGTGCCTGTTCAGATCTTCCTTCTGCAGATGCCACTAGACGGCCATTGCTTCCTAAACTGTCTGGCACCAGATCGTGGTTTGGCCAAGGTAGCTCAGCCGTGTTGTGGAATCACAATATTTTCCAGTCTAACTTATCTCACAGGAGTGTTGTTATGTGGATAAAATGAAAAGACACCCATATGTACTTTCTTGAGTTCCAAGAGAAAAGCCAGCATATAAATCTTGTAATTGGTTAGTAATAAGAGGACCTCATCAGAGTCATGACTGAACCTAATGCATTAAAACGTCCGTCCAGTAAAATGAATGGAATGTTGCAAGAATAAAAACTGTGGTTTCTTCAAATTATATAGAGTAGTTGGGGAAAGCACTCTGGGATATACAGCATATAAAATGAAGTAACTTGATGTAGGAAAATAATGCATTTCAGTCTGATTCCCTAAAACACTGTCAACGAGGTGAGTGTCCAATAATGTGGTAAAGAATTATTTTTACTATGTTATAATACAGTTTTCTTTGTATTAAATATGGCAGTTTGTGTATCGTATATTTATTCTGGCTCAGAGCATGTGGGTTCTTGCTGTCATTTTTATTTATTGTTTTCAGGGATTTTTTTGTTCCACTGCATTTTGCTGCTGTGCATCATTTTCCTTCTTATAACCCTCTTTTTGTCTCAGAAGGTAGTAGCACCTGGCTTACCTTCTCGGTGCACACAAGCTAAGCAGGGTCAAGTCTGGTGAGTACTTGAATGGGAGACATCAAAGGAATAGCAAGGCTGTAGCAGGATTTAGACGTTGACAAGCATCTTGGAAGAAAGCAGTACTGTAAGACAGTGACATGGCTGCATCTATGACTCAGACAAGAGCCAGCTTAACAAAGGTGTCTTTAGCACTTCTCAAAATGTGCTAGAATTGAAGACAATGATGCTCGCAACTTGTTGACAGACACACACTATGCCTGACTCAAATATAAGACAATGGTTGCATTCACACAATACACTTAACCCAGTTCCTGAATTAATGTATTTTCTGGGTTTGCATAATATCCTGAACATTACATCAACAAAATAGGCCGGGTTGCACGGCACCCTAAGCCCGAAAAGAACTAACCAAGATTAGTATGTGGGGTGAATGAATCTGCCACACGAGTGGGCAACCTTTCAGGGTTACACTAAACACTTTCAGATGTCTGAGGACCACAAGGTTCCACACTACACCTATAGTCAGGAGTGAACCGAAAGATTGCTTTGTTTTGTTAATTGTGATAGGCCTATTTTAGCATTTACACTTTTCATAGGTTTCACAGTTCAAAATAGCAAGAAACCACACTGGCAACCTTCAAAAATCGCCCTTAGAAGGGATTCTAAAAGCCCTCAAAAGGGGACTGGGGAAGAGCACAGTTCGCCTTTCCCCTGATGGATCTTTATCTAGCCTAGTTAAATCTGTTGTGGGAACACACCCTCTGTGCATGAATGAATGAACGGAGCGATTCCCGCCCTCCCGCCTTATTTCCGCTGCAGCGCCGGGGCCTGAGAACCCAAGAGACGAAGCTGACAATGTACTGGGAGCGAGCCTCGATGCAAACAGCTGGAATGCCCCTCCCCTCTCCTCTCTGTCGGCCCGCGCAGCTCCTTCCCCTTTTGTTCCAGGCAAAGGCTGTGGCAGAAAGCGCCGGGGAGGCCGGGGCGGCGAAGGCGTCGTTGCACCGGGGAGGGTCTGTTTGCGAGCGGCAGCAGCGGGACCCGTGAGCGCCTGACGGATCTCCCCCTCGTCCTCCTTCCCAGTGGAACCTTAGGGACGCCTGCCCGCCCGGACGGACGGGCGGACGGACGGCGCCGCGCCGCTCTTCGCAGCCTCAGCATCCTCCCTCGCTCGCTCGCTCGCGGCATCCCTGCATCTTCTCGCCCGTTGCTCCCGGAGGCTCGTCGGATGCCGCTCCTCTTGCATCCGAAGGGAGTGGCAGGCGCCGGCGCGCCTTCCACGGATCAGAGCTGTTGCCGCCGTCCGTTCTGTTAGGGAGCCGGGCGCTTCGGGCCATGGCCTAAGCCAGGCCGAGACAGAGAGGCCAGCTTCGGACCGTTTTCCACCCAAACTGCCTGGGTGGAAGGAAGGAGGTAAGCACTGAGCAGGAGGCGGCTGGGCGGTTGCAAAGCAAGGG